TTCGATAACCAATCGTATGGCGTGGCACAACCTTGAAGGAGTAGTCGTTATTGTGTAACTTATCTCTTTTATTCATATTAAATCTATTGTTTTGTCTCCAGCCTCTTTAGTAACGCCAAACCTATTGCTGATAGTCACGATATAACGAGTCAATGTAGACAATGATAGGACTTTCATGTAAGATCTCATAGACTAGATGGTCACATAATGAAAAATCTACAATTATAGGATTATCTCTATCATTGTGATAGTATCAATAACGAACTAGACCATAATCCCACAGGTCCAAGCCCTGTAAATGGTTGATTGAACCTGAAACGACTGAAATACCAATATTCGGTTTAACTTCGGAACTAACGAACCAAAGTTCATTCGATTAAACCGGTCTACGTTCTTCTCTATAGCGTACAAAGCGTTTTTGAGTGAATCGTGCTAAGTTATATAAAAATACAAACTCCTTGTTTGATTTAAACTGTTCCAATGAAAGAAGGAGATCAAATTATATGAAAAGTACAAAACACCTCAAACGGTACTGTCAAGAAATCTTCTAACAAAGACTAAGGTGCTAAACAATAAAAGGAGTGATCAGGAAGCAAGAGTTCAATACTCAAAAACCAATAGAAATATTCTCGATTAGGTGGGGTCCGATATCCATCTGCAAAGATTCCAGGAACCATTCCAAGCAGACGGTCAGAAGTTAATAGGCATACACTGAAACACTCTGTGACCTTAAGTTTAGTCAAACACGACCTTATTGTCAACAGCCCGTCAATATGTAACAGAAAAATTAAATAACAAAGGGTAAGTCTTTAACCAAAACCACATAATAAAAGCTCAGATGAGAAAGATCAAAGGATATGAAGTGTGGTTAAAAAGAGACCTGAATTAAGGGTAAACTGCAAGACAGAGAGAGCAAACAAACAGATGACAATACTGCCCAATGGAATGCTGTGGAGTGATCTTCAGCGTGTTTTTTCCGCAAAAGAACCCATAAAATGCATATCAAAAAACATTCTGATAGCTTTCTAGCCTAACCAATGCAGATCTGGAAAAAAATAAACCAATAACTAAATAAATGGTTAAACTTCGTAATGTATATCAAGCTCAATATTAAATCGGAGAGCAGCCAATAAAATGTTGCTTTAACTGTCTTAGTTGTTGTGAACAATGCCCTCCATTCTCCAACCATCCTAGGATTTTATCTATCAGTTCAGTATTTGCAATGAACAAGATGTTTCGCAAACTCCAATAATAATAGGAAATTCGGGAAGAACCCAGTCACGAAGTTCATAATACTAACGACAGTTGACAATTTATATACAATTTGAAGTTACTGACAAGCACAGCTTAAATACTCATCTATATGCGTGAAGCGTTTGTTTATAGTTCGGTAAATGGTTGCAGAAGTACAATGTTTCGAATTATTTGAATTATAGCACGAACTAAGAGTCCACGAAATCACGCAATTGAATTCAGAAGACACAAGCACAAACCAATGTACTGTATTTTGAATTCGAAATCGTGCAATCAACCAGTACAAAAGTATCATTAGTTCGGTCAAACACCACAAGAAGTTACTTAAAAACATTCATTCTCAGTCTCCAAAACAAACATGTAGGTTTATTTTATCTAACGTGATAGTTCAGTTACAGTGTTTGAAACAAACATCCGTCAATATACTTGTGTAGATTATCAAATTAATAAACGTGACACTTGCAGTGATATTATATGAAATTATTGTATGTGTTCCGGAAGCGAGGAGAATAACGTACCATCGTCAATTATTACTCATATGATTCTTCCTTCTCAGATAAGTTACTTACGTAACGTAGAAATACATATAAATATATCAGTTCCGCCAAAAACGGTAGTACTTTCAAGTGGTTAGGATTGCTTTTGGTTGTAAACTGGAAGCTTACACAATGTTTAAAAATAATTCAATGTGGATTTGCATCAAACAGCATTTGCCAAACAACTACTAGACATCATTGTTCACCAACAGCCTTTAGAGTCATGGATCATATGCTAAGGGATTTTTGATCCCATTTCGTTCGAAAATCTGACAATAGTCTATCTACAACTTTGTGAACAATGTAATTCACTTGCTCGACCTTTGATTGTTACAAATTGCAACGTGAAAGTCTACTTAACATTCATCCAAACAGCGAGCGGTAACCACGACAAACTGTTACATATTGAGATAAAAGCATTAAACAAGTATAGACACCACGAAAACTTAGGTGGGATGGCGAAAATGCCACTCTCGGTTGAGAAATGAAAACACCCGAGATATTTTATAACAAGTAACAGGTGCAGGTAAACACAGCTTATTTTTCATGTTCGGTTCACCTGACAATTAAAATCTGCACTTTCAACAGCAGCCAAATGATGTTCTCTTCCAAACAGCCTTGTGACATAATACACACGTTTTCGTATGTCTTAACTCACTACTCTGACCCCTTGAAACTTCATGCGGAGGTTTCTTCAAAGTTCCTAATCGTAGACCTAAGTGATATACCGTCGATAAAAACGCAATTAGCGATAATTTCAGCAGTGACCATCTTGAAGCTGAATATTTAGAAGGAAGCCCTGATATTGTTGATTTTCCTCCTATACAATTGAATGACAATAGCCTCACAATTACGATGCAATCCTCAATAATCGACAGCCTCAAAGAAACCTTGTAGTGTTAGTCATTAGTTTTAGCCCATAATATATCTTATTCTAGTTTCCGGACATTCCATTCCATTCGTTCTACTTGAGTCATGTTTTGACCTTGTTAATTATTCGCTTATTAGCCTTGACTGTTTTCACATGAGCGTATATGTGTGAACACTTCATGTCCCATGACTCATCACATGTCTGTAGTTTATTTTGTCTGCCTATAAATATTGAGTAATGCCCGGCTTGAAATGGAGTTGGCTTCCCAGCCATCTTCCATACGCGTCATTTTGCTTTGCTATGCTTCATTCGCTTCATGTACGAAATATATGTATTCTCAAGTCAATTCTCGTTATTCGACTTATTTAATTCCGTTATTGGATAACGCGATTAAGTCGACGATTATATACGAGAATAAGTGATAACAAACATTCGTACGCTCTAAATGGAGTCAGATCAAAAGGGCCACTAAAGTGGTGAGCCCTTCAACGAATATCGTCGATCTAAATGAGGACAAAATCAAACTACGGGCCTCCACTAAAACCTCGCTGGTATCTGAGAAATGGCCTAATACTATGCGCTCTGAAACAAGGGCAAGATTTCAAGAGCACTTAAATGACCACTGCATGTAGGATATTACTTTTTTTCGTTTCACCTCACTTTTCGCGCCTGACAATTGCTTTTCTACATTGTTGTGTCGAAACCTTAGCTTTTTAATATGCTTATATTTTTGTAGATTATTTTTTTATAAGTCGAATGAAAACCTTGTCAAAAAATATATGCCAAGTGCTTTCGCATGTTTTGTTTCCTTATGCAAATACGAGCGTATTTTGGAATCCACCAGCAATTCTACTTATTTTTTTATTCAGGAAGACTATGAAAGTTAAAATAATTGGCGATGAATACGGCCAGTCGAAAATTTTCATTGTTTATTTTTATATTGCTTTATCGTGAGGTGGTTCAAGCAACTTACCAGGGTTCCTTCAAGATTGAACTTAATGTATTTCTAGGGACTCAGGACAGTATTTCACTATAATTTACCAATACTTCTCTCTTTCCCGTTGAATATACTTGGGCCCCTACTTGAAGTCATCGGCGACTATACATGTCTTATCAATAAGCTCAAGGTGATTGTGTATCAAATCACCTTTAATTGGTTGGCTCACTTCGTATATAAAAATCGATATTATAAGGTCAGAGTTAACTTCACTTTCTCTCAGGTTATGGAATGTTCTGGTGGGGTCTCCCAAGGTTCAATGCTGGGACCTTTTCCTTTCTTGATTTATATAAACGATCTTCCACAACGGGTGTCGTCTGAATTTCAACATTTTGTTGATGATGTGAAACCTTGAGGAGAGATACGCAACCAATAGGATATGCTGGCACTTCAGGAGGATCTGTCTCGACTTCAAAGTTGGGTAGATTACGACGGACTTACATTTAACACTTCAAAGTATAAAGTAATCCACCTGAGACATGTTGTAGACTACAGTTATAACTTAAGAAACTCCTCTCTAGAAGTATCTGAGGTTGAAAAAGATTGAGGAGTGCTGGTGCCCTACGATTTTTAGTTTTGCGCCATCTATGACAAAAGTGCCTTTTGAGCAAACCTTGCAGTGGTAATATTGAAGCTCATTTTTGGCAAGTTTGACGGATGAACTTTCCACATAATCTTCAAAAGTTTCATTCGTTTCCATTTAGAGTATGGAAACATAGTATTTCATCCCTCACTCCAAAAGGATAAGGACACTCTGGAGCGTATTCAACGGCAAGCTACGAAATCAGTTCGGGGACTCAAATTCAAGCCTTATGAAGAGCACTTCCAATCACTAAATATTTACTCATTAGAGTATAGGCGTCTTAGAAGTGACATTCTTATGAATTACAGCATCCTTAACACTTTTTGACATCCCTTTAAACACCTACATAAGCTTAGCTCCAACACAAACCCAAGGGGTAACACACAGAAACTGAAGACACATCACTGCAGAACGAATTGTAGGCATAACTTCTACTATTTAAGAGTGGTCAAATGCCGGAATTCAGTGCCGGCTGAGCTAGTCCAAGCGACCTCCCAGGAGTCCTTTAAGAGGAAACTTGACATATTATAAAGGGCTATGGATAGTATCTTACTACTATTTATCGACTTCCTTTTCTTCGTTTATCGTTAATATACCTAGGTTCCTGCCTGGAGGTATCAGTGATCCATTTCTACTAGACACAGAAGCCCGTCAAGTGACAGTTTCTATTTCGTCCACAACGATTTGAAACCATTTATTGTTTGATGATGTGTATTCAATAACCTTGGTCTCAGGGTTATAAACCCGTGAACATTTCAGATGTCGAATTATGGACTACTGGTTGCATTTGTGATCTTGACACTATTTTACCTCTCATCGGTGTTTGTTTGCAATTCAAAAAATGTGAACAAAGCCACTATGAAGTAAGTGCATTTGAATCTCGACAAGTTTGTTATTTATTACTAGGGCTCGGGTTAAGGAGATGTTTCTCCACGCATATAACAACTACAAGGTATACTTAATGTCACCGCTTAATATTTTTGTTGTAGGATAACGCTTTCCCTGCTGATGAACTAATGCCGCTTACCTGTAAAGGTCGGTATCGGTGGACAGGAGTTAACAGAGGTGACATAGATGACGCATTGGGCAATTTTTCACTAACGATGCTTGACGGACTCGACAGCCTTTTCGTAAGCCCTAAGCCTATGATCTAATCCTATTTAGTTAATTGGAGAGTTTGATGAGTTTGAAGTTGCTGTAAAGGCTGTAGTGAGAACTGTAAGGTTTGATTCTGACGTTGACGTTTCAGTTTTTGAAACTAATATTCGCGTCCTTGGGTATGTTTTCATATTTGTTTTTGTCCTTCTTTTCTAGTAGTATTTAAAAGTTTTTATCTACTTTCAGTCTTATTATCATTGACATTGCAATTATTGTGACTCATTTTTGTTTTTCCTTGGTGTGTTAAAATAAAATGTTACAAGTCGACCAATTTACATTTATCCTACATTCGATTTAATTGGCCTGATGAAGATAGCATTCATATTCCTCCTACCGGACACCGAAAATCAGCGGTGTCAAGTTTTTCAGGTGAAAATGTCCAAGCGTGTGAATTTGCGGGAATTGTGTTAGACTAAATGATATAGCAACTTTCACGCTCATTATCAGCGGACACAAAACAGTACTATCTTGTCATGCGTTTAGTCAGTCTCTACTAAACTTCTGTTGTTTTGTTCCGTCACCTGGTTTTTCAGAACGACATCAAGGCTTTTACATTTTAGTCCTAATAACCAAACGTGCTGAAGAAAACATAAAAATATGACACTGTACTTCTTTTAGGATACAATATCACAGGTGTGGATGCCGTTTTGAGTTCTTGAATATAAAATAAATCAGCTATTAAATTAACAGTTCAGAAATCCACATTTAAACAGTTTTGCATGATGCGATTTTTATTTACATCTATGCCCCATATTCGGATCAGGCATCTGTCACTACGAACACGGTTTGGTATAGAGCAGTTAAAGCGGTATAGGCTGCAAGTCTGGATTTTTTTAAACAAGGGACCAGCCATATGATGGCTATGGCACTTGTGTAACAGTATTATTCAGATCAAAATTGACTATCCCTTAGCATATGTTAGAAATATACCCAATATAACCGCAGTGATTACACTTGTCACTATTCACACCTCGGAAAGTGTTTTGTATTTAAGAGAATCATGACAAAGTGTTTCTTGTACACTGATATAGGTTTTGGAAAAATATGGTCTTTCAAGTACCGCAAGTGACATTATAAGAATGTTGGAACTAGATATTCTACCCTTCTAGATATTGTGTTGCTTTAAGAATAATTTTCATCATTGATCAACTTGGCAATAGAAAGGGGAGTTATCGGGAGTATTAACCGCCTATATTTATGATCCCATAAGGACGATTTTTATGTCCTCATCACTCTGTTACTGATACTCGAAAATGAGGAACCACTACAACTTTCACGATGAGAAGTAAAAACAAAAGAGACTGGTACAAGGGAAGATCTGTTCACTTCAAAAAATGATGATCCTTACCAACAATATACTGATATATTGGTTTGTACACCAATTTAATAAATATGGGTAGATTGTAAATATTTGACTTTTACTGTCCTCAGTATTATCCTCGACTATAATTAAACTACTGAGTTAGCTCTTTCTTTCGTAGATATTTATCCCGGAACGTTAAACACGTCAATTTATCTTCGTGATTTTGCTGAAAATAGTAATTTAATTACCATGAATAGAACAAACTCGACTTACGGCTCATAATTCATCATAGTCACTACAAAGAGATGAGATGTTCATCAACTTAAATATAAGATGCTTTGTATTCCAGTTATACTTTTTAACTGTCAGCTGTTTGGACGAGAGTTTCAGTATTTAATCAATACTGTGCATAGCTCAGAATCAGTGAAAACGCTTCGTAGGGAAGCATATAGATGTAGATCACCTTCGAACTCTGTATTAGTATTATTGTCATTATTCGCTAAAGAGTATAAGTTGATCATTTTAACCGTAATTTCCAAAATTAAATCATTTATCATTGAATTTTTACAGATTTTCCACCCACTACTTAGCTATTTTAACTATTGAAAATCATTTATCTGTTATATTCAAGTAATGCAACGGTATAGCTCAGTACGTGGCAAATTTTGAACTCCATGTCAAATCCCACTACTCATTCACTTGTTGTACCTCAGTCTACCATGTAAGGATGTAAATATTTGCATAGTTGTCCACATTTTATCCTAAATTATACAATCAAACTCAAATAGCACAACACCAATAATCGTCATCCTGAGCTACAAATATTCTCCATCATCTCAGACTAGTGTTCATTTTACACATTTCACATTTTCTTATAACGAATTTGCTTTCAGTGGTTTGTTGGGAGCTCATGTTGCTGTTATGTCAATCAAACAAAACAATGACTCACGAATGGATTGGTATACGGACGAACTTTTACAAATGGCTGTTGATATTGGAAATCGGCTATTACCCGCCTTTGATACACCAACTGGTATCCCTTACCCTAGAATTAATCTTCGTCACGGATCTTCGGGTTTAACAAAACACGAGGTTAGTGTGGTCACAGAGTGACCAAAGTTAAACATTCAGTGAAAGTCTGGAAGCATTGGACAGCTGATTCGTTTTGACACTGAACTCCATCAATTCACATCCATGACCCCGCCACTGGGAACTGAACCCAGAAACCTTTGGTTAAAACAGCTGTCCGTTGCTTCCTGGTTTTTAGTCGTTTAATATCATTGAGTGATTTTAACTATGAAATTGAAAAAACCGTCATGAACTTCTAAAGTAACGGTTTTTATCTAGAATTAAGCTGAACTTTCCGTCTATTTATAGTAATATGGTACGTGGTTTTTATGTTTTCCATCCTATTTAACCCCACAAAACTAAAATAAACGAACTTGAGAAAATGAACTATAATGTGGTAGTTCGTCAAAGGTGATTGCCTGGATAATTAGCCCCCAAATGCCGTGGTACGGCCGAGAGTGGGGAGAGTCCACTCTCCCTCTCGAAATGCTCTCACATGGCCACGCGTATACAGCCTCTGCCAGGGAAGTCCTACTCACTGCCTTCTCGTGGCGGGGGTGTTGTTTACGAAAATGAGAGGACAAAAAGCGAATGTCCGACGCTTTAACCGGATTCCAAACCAATGGTGCACATGGGCTCCAGTATCCTGCGGGAACAAATAGCGTATGAACCAATTATTGGTCACCGGCTTCCATGGGACTACATCTCCTCACGATGCTCCACTGCCTTGTGGATCAGACCTTCAGGTCGAAGGCTCGGGGTGTGGCCCCCTAAGAAAATCACCTGTTTCGGTTTGGGCACCCGGGCAGTATCACAGCCCTTACACATATGTATTTGGTGCCTCATTGTACCAATATCTATGTGTTAAAATAAATTAATAATAATAATTTGTTCAATATTTAGACATTACTGAACTTTTGGTCCCAAAAATAGGTAGTGAAAATTTCAGAAAGTGTATTCAAATGTACAGAGTACCATCATTATGCTCAGAATTACAAAAGAGATAGTAAATACTTGTATCTCGGTCGTTGCAAATGGTTCTTTTAAAAAAATATGGGCTTAAAATTTCCAATAATACATTACACTTGTCTCGCAAAATAGAAGGAAAAAAGCCCGCACTTTCCTACATGATCTTGATCACTAGTTATTGATTTCATTAACATATTACCTTTAATATTTTTGTATTTATTCTACCGTTAACCTGGTAAGCACACCTAATTAGATGGTCGTTAATAGATTAAAGTTCCCAACCTTGATCAATTTCTCTTGTACTGTAACACTTACGCATTTGTTTTGGTGTAGTGTGTTTACATTAGTAGATTTAATGTGAAAATTATAACACTTATAGTTTATAGTACCCCTACCCTGATATGAGATTGTGTTTGTTTAGATGTTGTTAAACGTTTCAATTAACCTATTTTAATGATTCAGACTTATTTTATTTTAGTCCAATAATTCTCTGATCTATATATTTATCCTTATGCTTGTACGAATGAGTATGTATGGTTGCTTGCATGTAAAAGCCTACTCATTCATTTCTCCTACTTTCCTAAATGCTAGCTGCTTAAACCGCTTGATTACTTACTCGGATCTTCATACATATTTACTTGCTAGACCACATTCACTAATTTGTCTGTCTTGTCGTGTGTCTGTTAGTTGTTTGATTTGAATTATACATAGAAAAACTGTTGCGACAACTTTGTTTCGTCCACTGGAAATTGTACACCGTTAGGAATTATGGTTGTCCGGTCGATGAATACACACAGTATAGGAATGATCTTAAAAATGTTCCTCAATAAGTCTGTATATCTATCTTTCCACTATCCTATAGAATACAACTAAACAGTTTAAGGGTTCTCATATGATGAAAGACACATATTATATTATTAATTAAAGGATTAAAAACGGTTCTAAGAAGAAAAGAAATGGTTTGCGATATTTTCACTTACTAAACCTGTTCGGCCGTGTATAGATTTCCATATAGACATTTCACACTTATTATTGTTCTGAATTTATTCATAGGAGAATACATGCACTGCTTGCGCAGGTACAATGATCCTTGAATTCGCTGCTTTAAGTCGACTAACTGGAAATCCAATTTATGAAGAAAAAGCTGCCAAAGCAATGGCATTCTTATGGAAACAACGTAATCGTTTCTCAGATCTTGTTGGTCGTGTAATCAATGTACGCAATGGAGATTGGATTCGTCAAGGTGAATACCATAAATAGATTTACTTTTTTATGCCTAACAATTAAGATGTGCTAAACAATTCATTTACTGTGGCTTACATATTATTTCACACAGTCCAGCAAATCAAGTTGTTCAGAGAGGAGTTTTGCGGAGATTTTAGTAATTTAATAATTGAATCCATGAGTTATTTGAAGCTAAATCACCATGGAAAACATGGAAGCACTGGACGACATTTTCATCGTAGTATGGGACTCCGCAGTAGTGTGCATCCACGACCCCGCCCCACGGGATTCGAACTCAGGACCTATCACTCTCTCGCGTGAACGCTTAACCTGAACCGACCGGAATCCAACGGTGTTAGTGTCTAACTCCAACCAATCCAACTCAACAAGTTATTGTTGAGTAAATATGTTAAAGTTTGCAAAATAGCATTTTTCAACGTTACTCAATTCGTGACTTTATTTCAAATGTAATATTCACACTAATATTACAAGGTTGTCGATCTAAACAGTTTATACCTTATCTATTCTTCGATTGATGCCATTTTGCAGTAAAAAGATGACTTATTTTATTGTTTCTCTCGGGGAGGTTGTTTTCAGTTTTGAAGATATAGCTGATGTTTACTCTATAAAGTATTTCTTTCCAAGTGATCCATTTTTGGTTAATTAGTAGGTCAAAGTTTATCATTTTATATAGCTAAAGTTCCTTCCACAGATGAGAAGTAATCTTAGATATTTATGTTAAATTAGGGAACGTTATGCTATACTGTTATTTTGCCGTAATTCAAGTCGAACCCTACACACAAGTGTCTGACGAAACACGGTGCGACTTAACTACTGTCCTACACTTTCTACTCTTTCCTCCAATGTGTAGTAGTTCATATTAATACCCATTTACGTTGAAAATAATATGTAAAGTTTATGAAGTAATAAATTTCGTTGACTGTTCGACGCCTACCCAACTTGTTTTTATATCATACGAAATTAAAGTAATTTGTGTCGTCCTTGATTATTCAATCAGTCAAGCGTAGATTGATACATACGTTCTATTTGATTAATGATCGTATGAAAGGATCAAAGATATCGTTTCAGGGATTCTTACATTTTATGTTTAAATAAGTCATACTGTATTTACGTATATTGCGCCTTAGTAGCTCAGTCGGTTAACCCCCAAATGCCCTGGCATGGCTGAGAGTGGAGAGAGTCAGCTCTCCCTCTCCAAATGTTCTCAAGTGGCCACGTACATACAACCACTGCCACACAAGTCCTACTCACTGCTTCTCGTGGCTGGGGTGTTGTTTGCGAAATTGAGAGGATGAAAATCGAATGTCCAACGCTTTAACCTGATTGGTGGACGCGGAGGGTCCACTTAGGGGAGTTGGAAAACCCTTATTACAAGCAAATGGTACACATGGGCTCCAGTATCCTGAGGGAACAAATGACGTATGAACCAGTCGTTGATCACCAGCTACTATGTGACTGCATCTCCTGACGTTGCTCCACTACCATGTGGATTAGACCTTTAGGTCAAAGGCTCGGGGTGTGGTCCCCTAAGGTAACCACTTTCTTCAGTCTGGGCACCCGGACAGTATCACAGCCCTCACATAAATCGAGTGATTTATGTTGCACATATCTGTTTGGTGCCTCCTTGTATCAATGTTTATGTGTTTAAATAAATAATAAATTTACATATAACTTTAAAGTAGTACTATGTTGATTCTTCCAACTTTTATGCATTTATAGAATCTGGTGTCGGTGCAGGCATTGATTCATATTATGAATACTTGTTAAAAGCATATATATTACTCGGTGAACCAGTATATTTACATCGTTTTCAAACACATTATGAAGCAGTTAATCGATATGTTAGTGGTCCACAATCAGCTGAATTCCCTTTTTTATTTTTGGATGTACATATGCATAGACCAGCACAACGTGCACGTACATTTATGGATGCTTTATTAGCTTTTTGGCCTGGTATACAAGTGAGTAAATATTTCTTAATTATATTTTTTATTATTGTAGTCTAATATTTAATATTTTGCACAGAACACTTATGTTTAATGATAGCATCCAATTATGTTCATTTAGTCTATCATGCTGGAGACATACAATTAGGTCAAATAAAATTCAATGTATTCCCACTAACCGAATGTCCTGAGTTCGAGTCTTGTGTACAAGATCATGGATGCGCACTGCTGAAGAGTCCCGTACTAGAACAAAACGGCCTTCCAGTGCTCCTAGGCTTTCAATGATGGTCTAGATTATAATTCTAATCATGAATTCAACTATTAAAATTACTACAATCTTCACAAGCTCACATTCTGAAAATTAATGATGTATTTACTCTTATATGTGTAATTGTTTACATGTTTGTTATTTATTTCTATCTATTCTCTGATTAGTTGTAAACACAGTCGATCAATAACTCAATCACGTATTACACATTCTCTTTCTATGTCATCTGATCTGATTGCCGACATTATGATTTGTTGAGTTGATTAACTTGCCTCCCAATGAATATCGAATTTAAGCCCAACTCATATTTGATTTCTGAATACGTTCGAGGGAAAATACATTTGATTTTAAAGAATTCGTTTATGTATTTGTATACAAAGTTATAATTGTAGTCAGTGTCATCGGATAATACAACTAAGTAGTAGTAGTGGTGAGCCTAAAACAGAATGTTTTATTTATTATTTATTTGAACATATAAATATTAGTACAAATGGGCACAGGATAAATATGCATCATACAAGTCACTTGATTTGTGTGTGGGATGTGATATTGCCCTCGTGCCCTGACCAGAACAGATGGTTTTCTTATGGGACGATATCACAAGCCTTCGACCTAAAGGTCTGATGCATATGGCAGTGGAGCGACGTCAGGAGATGCAGTCACATGGTAGCTGGTGATCAACGACTGGTTCATACGTCATTTGTTCCTTCTGATACTAGAGCCCATGTGTACCGTTTGTTTGGAATCAAGGTTTTCTTAGTCCCCTAAGTGGACCCTCCGTGTCCACCAATCAGGTTAAAGCGTTGGACATTCGATTTTGATCCTCTTAATTTCGCAAACAACACCCCAGCCACGAGAAGCAGTGAGTAGGATTTATGTGGCAGTAGTTGTATGTACGTGGCCACTTGAGAGCATTTTGAGAGGAAGAGCTGACTCTTTCCACTCTCGGCCATGCCAGGGCATTCGAGAACAAAACGGAGAACAGATTAAACATTATCAAATTGAAAAATAACTAACTATGAGGTATATTTTCTAATCAAGCCGACGTTAGCAACAGCAATTCAAAGTTAGTCACATTATAACGTGAAATTTGTTTTGTAATTACTCACCCACATAACTATATTTTTATATTCTGCAATTATTACATATTCACTCGTATAATTCATCAAAAACATTTTGGCGAGTGCTCATATACCTATTGTATATATCCCCTCTTTATCATGTCACTAGGAGATTCTTCTCCTGTTGTTTGTTTGTTTGTGTGGCTGTCGTATTGTTGTCTTCATTTGTCTTGAAAGCCTGTAATCGTAACCTGCGGTTTGAACGAATTGAAAGTTTTTTGCAGCACAAAGAACCTCAAATAAGGTCACGAAATTCAGTTACGCTAAATCCCCGTTGCCAAACAACGGAGTTACCAGAATCACTTCTCTATCAGACCATAGATCGACATTTAGCTGATGTTTAACTCGGTGATAACAAATCATTACAGTTAAAAACGCTGTAGGATTAGTATATTGGGTGATAAATAGGTCGACAGTTAACGTTAAGACCTGGGACAAATGCTACATTAACATGAATCTTCATAGTAGCACATGGCCTACATCAATCGTATCAGCTGTTGGTAGGTGTAAAACTACATAGACCGCTACGCACGACAGTAGGATCGAAATCGACTGACTTTAGATGTAGTATCTATATATGTAGTTAGCAAATCAGGTTGTGAAAGAGATATTTATGCGGAAGTACTAAAACATTTCCTTCAATTACTTCAAACAACGTACAGACGGGAAGAAGTCAAAAAGAACGTTGTGGATCATATCGAAACTGACAAATCTTTAGTTTTGCGCGTCCCAGACGTCTCACGTCAAAATATATCACTATACCAAAGGCTCAATTCAACAAATTACTTAAGCTGGATATAATCTGTTCATTTTATATTCCATGATCTTTACCACTACGCATGCTACCTGAGAGAAGCGGTAAAGTAAGATCATATGGAGTTTGTAGAAGGACAAACAAGCAAAAGACGCTCGGCAGATGCCCAATATCACAATTAAATGATTTATTTAAATTATTTGGGTTGATAACATTCCCCGAGACTGATTTAATATGAGGATGCTATCACATTGTAGTAGCACAAAAACTTCGCCTAAAGCCACAGTCACATCGTCTGGTTGGTCTATGTGATCTGGACTATCAAATGTGGCACAAACGTTTTAGAGCTTCACTGATCGAGTGCTCTAAGGATTGCAACGCATGATTTTGGAAAGGAGTCAGATACAAAGCCATGGTTCTATTTTCTCAATTACTTTACTCTAAATTATAGAATGGTCCTATGTTCGATGAAGACATTTATATTTCATTTTTGTTAAACTTAGGTTCTTACAGGTGATGTAAAACGTGCAGTTGCATTACATGAATTATTATATTTAATTCATAAACGTAATAAACTTTTACCTGAAGCATTTACACCAGATTTCAATGTACATTGGGGTCAACATTTACTTCGACCTGAATTAATTGAATCCACTTATTTATTATATCGTGCTACGGAAGATCCATATTATTTACAAGTTGGTGAACAAATTGTTAATGATTTAGAAAAGTATACACGTGTACCATGTGGTTTTGCAGCAATTAAGGTTTGTGAAACAATAATAACCTTTGATCTCTTTTTTTCGTGTTCTGTCTTTTTTTGTTAAACACGAATTAAATCATGAGTCAATTGAAGCTAAACCACCATGGAAAACCTGGAAGCACTAGACGACCGTTTCGTCCTAGTATGGGACTCCTCAGCAGTGCGCATCCACGACCCCGCACCCAGCGGGATTCGAACCCAGGACCTACTGGCTTCGCGCGCGAACACTTAACCTTTAGACCACTGAACCGGCCGGAATACAACGGTGTTAGTGTCTAACCAATGCGCACTGCTGAGGAGTCCCATACTAGGACGAAACGGTCGTCTAGTGCTTCCAGGTTTTCCATGGTGGTCTAGCTTCAATTGACTCATGATTTCAACCTGTGAAATTTCTAAAATCTCCACAAGTCCCTTCTGATAAAACACGAATTAGTTTGATGAAAGACTGATTTAAACAGTCCGATTAGCTTCTGTCCAAGCAACCAGAGCTTATTGACACGTGTTAAAATTATCTCATTAATCGACCTTGTGTGTACAAAATTTAGCTGTTAACTATCTACTTGAATATTTTGATCTGCGTCTCTGTATATTAGCTTAAGAAGCATATATAATAAAGCAAGACCATTCTTGCCGACACGTTACAGATCTAACCTTTTACATGATGAAGGCGCCAAATATGGCCCAGACTAGCATAAGCTGTTCTGCCTTTTGCTATACGTGAATTGATCTCAACACATACAGTTGCCCAGATGGACAAACTTTTTAACCACTGTGAACTGCTAACTATCAAGAGTGAGTGCAGGTACAGGGTCCTGTCAGTATCGTAAAAGTACTTTGCAAATAGAAGGTACAAAGCATACTGACGCTAACACTGATTGTCAACTGATTAAGTGTGGATTACATGACTTGAGTATCATCGCATATTAAGACAATATTATCCACAGACCCAAAGTCGGGATGTCTTTCTACACGCAACAAATCCACACTACCACTCCTTACATCCATCCAGAACGTTATCGATGGCCAAGTTGGGCAGGATTGGTGAGATTGGACAACTCTGTCTAACTTTAATGCGTAAATGAAACTCAATGAAGTTGCTAGAAAATGTGTTGCGTTTATCATGTCGTCGCCCAGACCGTTATATAGTTTTGGTTGAAGTAGGAGTAATTTAGAAAAAAACTAGCAGTATCAAGACCAAAACGTTGTATCAGTTCGTAAAGTCAATGAACTGTTCGAACCTAGCCTAATTGGTAAATGTAGATTACGTGGTTATAATCTATGTGATAACCGCTTGGAGTAGTTGGGGAACTTGGGTGACATCACTCATAAAACTATCTGGAATCCTTTATTAGTTATCTTGTTATTTTCATTATTTATTTATTTAAACACATAAACATTGGTTCAAGGAGGCACGAAACAGATATGCGCCACATAAATTATTCAATCTGTGTGGGGGTTGGGATATTCCCCCGGGTGCCCAAACCGAAGCAAGTGGTTTCCTTAGGGCCCACACCCAGAGACTTTGACCTAAAGGTCTGATTTGCAAGGCAGTGAAGCAACGTCAGGAGATGCCCTCACATGGTAGCTGCTGACCAACAGTTGATTCATACCCCACTTGTTCCATCAGGATACTGGAGCCCATGTGTACCATTTGTTTGGAATCAGGGGTTTCCAACTCCTCTAGGTGGATCCTCCATATTTACCAACCCGGTTAAAGCACCGAACATTTACTTTTCGTCCTCCCAGTTTCGTAAACAACGGTGTTGCCGCGAGAATGCAGTGAGCAGGATTTGTGTGCTAGTGGTTGTATGCACGTGACCATGTGAGAGCATTTGAAGGGAGAAAGTTGACTCTCCCCACTTTCGACCGTATCAGGGCATCTGGGGGCTGTTATTTTCATCCCATTGTACTAATTCGATGTGGTGATTTATGCTGATAGACATTTGCATCATCCTCTTTATTATGACTAATCAATTAACATTATATTCTATTTGGTTCAACAATCGATTCACGTAGTATGTACTTCATTTAGTCATTTGAGTTTGTTCTTATCTCACAAACTGCTTAACAGATATCATCCAACTTTGGAAATATAAATCATAAAATTAATGAGCCTTAAATAACTTGATAATGCATATAATGGGTAGCAATACTAGGCAAAATTGTACTATATTGCCAATGGGTTTACACTGTTGCTTTTTGATAACTTATGTAAATGTTAACACAACAATCATGTGTATATATATTCCTATGACATTGGTCTTTTATAATGTTAGTGTACATGGATAATAGTCAATAATTTGTAGTCTAGTGTATTTTGAGATGGTGGAGAAGATTTGTAGCTCAGGTGAATGATTTTGATGGAGTTTTGTTCTCTGAGCTGAATGGTTTGGTTGATCGTGGAGCTTTCATTGTTCTTCTGGACGACATCGTCAGCACAAACTTCAGACTTCTATCTAAAGTGTATGTAATTTCAGTGTATATACTACTTTGCCACATTTTTGATCCTAGTTATGAAATGTTTCCATATCAACCTGAACTATTTTAACTAGAGATTATTTTCATTGCATTACTTTTGCTTACATTTCATAATATACCTTCATTGTTACCATCATTATGGTTCTTGTCCTAACTTATTACATCAGGATGTACGAACTATGGAGCATGTAGATCAATTCGATTCATTTGTTCTTGCTGAAACATTTAAATACTTATACTTATTATTCGCTGAACCATCAGATATTCCAATCAAAGTAGATGATTATATATTTACTACAGAAGCACATCTTTTACCATTAAGTTTATCTCGTCAACGTTATTCAATTAAGAATGTATTCCATACTACGATTCATAATGTTTCCTCAGTATTGATGAAGACATCACAATATGATGTTAATAATTCAATCCTACTACAACAACAACAACCATCATCGACTTCAGAAATTGAATCATTTTTTATGAAATCAATACCAGATCATCATGGTGATCGAGATGTTAAAGTTGAAAAATTATTACATAAAGCAGCTCAATGTATTGCTGTAGGATATGAACATAGAAATCCTATTAAATGTATTTTAGATACTTCTATGACAAAGAATGATACTACTACTACTAGTAATGAAAATAATGATAACAATGATCTTGTTAATAATCATTTGGATTCAACATGTGATATATCAGAAATGCCTGGTTTCTTTTATGGTTATCATATGAGAAAATTACCGAAATGTAATGATTCTGATAAAATTTTATCGAAATCATATGTTTGGAATATTATTGATGCTATTCGACAACCAGTACGTCAGATAGCTATAAATCTTGATCGATCAATAAACGACTTCACTGTCGGTGTTCAACATCATCCTCATAAACATACAAATGCACCATCACCGTTACCATTAAGAGCAATTGATTTTCAACCTGACAATGCATTACACTTGAATATATTGAAAAGTATGGGTATATCAATGTCATTTAATCAAGATGGTAGATTGACTTTAACACATCATCAGAATGCTGTAAGTTAATATTTATCTATTTAGTGTTCTTATTTCACTGAAATATATTTTGGTGTGAATTGTGATTAAATGTTTAGTTAGATAGAGTTATTCATTAGTTCCTTAGGGGTTCTTGTGTTCACATTGTTATCGGCCATTGTTGGACAAGTTCGATAAAATAATGTTGCTCATTCTGAAGCACATGTTTAGACTCAGATCATGTTCTTGTTCGAGAATGTATTTGTGTATATTTTACTGGTCATTGAAAAGCCACAGCTAGTAAACCCCTCACAGTCCAACCTAATGATAAGTAAATAATATATTTGAGGAACAAGAAGGAGTTAGTCAACCATGAAAGTGATATACATCCCAAAGTGACTTGGCGTGATGTCCAAAAATCTGTGTGAACGACACTGATATCTACTAGTAACTTACATTGAAAGGTATGGTAAAATCAGTGGATTTCAGCGGCCTCTACAGAACTGATAGATGCACAGAAGCTCATATCGTCTCGGTCCGAACACGATGAGGAGCGCAGGCAGCTTAAACATAGGCTGATCAAAAGCCTACTTGATGATCGTGAGCAGTGGTAGGTAGCGAAAGCAGAAGAGATGGAAAAGGTAGCGACGATAGGTAACAGTAAACAACAGTACAAACTTATTAAGGAAACGAGTATTTAAAAATCCGGCTGTTAGTGAAACTACCTCGGAAAAAGACGGAAATATTATTCACTCTCAATCTAGGAGATTGAACCGATGGGTAGAACTCTTTAAGAAATAGTTCAACTGGGCTTCAGCCACATCATGATGTACCGTTAATCGAAGATTAACATGGTGACGACTTACGTCTATTTGTCACAACAGATTATTTATTTATTTGAACACATAAATATTCGTACAAAGGTGCACTGAATACATATGCACCACACAAGTCACTTGATTTGTGTGTGGGCTGCGATACTGCACGGGTGCCCAGACCAAAGCAAGTGATTTTCTTCGGGGACCACATCCCCAGCACTTGATTCAATGGTCTAATCCACGTGGGTTTTCCAATTACCCTAAGCGGAACCTCCGTGTTCGCCAACCTGGTTAAGGCACCGAACATTCACTTTTCGTCCTCCCAGTTTCTCAAACAACAGTGTTGCCGCGCGAAGGCAGTGAGTAGGACTTGTGTGGCAGTGGCTGTATACACGTGACCATATGAGAGCATTTGAAGAGGGAGAACTGACCCCCCCACTCTCGGCCGTACTAGGGCATTTGCGGGCGAACAGCAGTCCAAACACTTGTTGCCTATTCTCATACAATCAGTATAGGAACATATATGCTCTACTTTAATGTATCGTTAGTTTTCTCTCATACTATGAAACGTTACTTTCTATTGTGATATCTTATTACCTCACATAGTAATATTTATAATGTGTATGTTATTATTATTATTATTATTATTATTATTATTATTATTATTATTATTATTATTATTATTTTGAAATAGGCTGATAGTATTGACTCAGCGACTGCAGGAGTTATTTTCATACAAGAATTGATCACTTTAGCAAATCAGAAACAAAGTTTAGTAGGTGAGTTGTTAATTTTAGCTAAATTATCATCTCTCAACTTGTAAATAACCATTAAGTTAAATGGACGTGTTAATTATGATGATATGCTCAATGAAATTGTTCTAGTCTTCTTTTTGATTATATTTGTGTTCATAACTATATTGCCTCCCGACCGTTGCTGCTATCCTGAATTGGTGGTTTAGCTTGCCTATCGTGATGATCCAATCAAGCTATACTAGCTGGAACAATCGTTTCTCAAGATCCTACCATGCCAGACAAGTTGGTTGAAGAGTGGTAAGACTAAAAGCAGCAAACCCAAGGTCAGAAGGCGAAGTCGTACTTCTGACTATACAGAGGTGTGGCGGCAGTAAGGTGTTTCCTTCAGACAACCAGTACATTAATGATGCTTCTTTCCCACAAGGAAGGTTGGGGTTATAAAAGGGTGACCCTATAAATACACACCTCGCCTTATCTCACGGATTTCCGTCTCCGGCGGTAAGGTCCCAACAAGTACGAAGCTAACACGAAAATTACTTACCAAAAGGTCGTGTGTGACCGACCTCAAGCAGTTGTCCCTTGGGCACTGTGGTCACGCTCTCAGGTCACTAAGACCACCTCTAATCCAATTTCGTTTTCAGGTACCTCCAGAAGAACCCTTCCACGGTGTGGGCAACCGGGAAGTGATAACCGCCGCCCTCATACCTTCAACAGTATTCAAGACCACTGTATTCATAATCAGTACCTCTCTTCAATTCCTATTATTCTTCCTACCTCGACTTTCAACTTTAGACTTCCTCCTCAAGTATCACCATAGCCAACGATTCTAGTGCGCGAAACCCAGGTCTACTGAAACCTCGCTCCGAACTAAACATTGGAGCCTTCAACGTACGCAACTATATTGCCTGATTTACCTATAAATATGAGGCTAGCATCAATAGTGTTCAGTTTAAAATGTTTTAAGTCGTTACTTAGTCCTTTGAAAAGATCTGTAAGTAAAAACTCTTAGTTATTTAATACATTTTACTTACAATATCTGTATTTCAGCTCTATATGAAGAGAAAACTTGTGTTTTTGGACAACAGAACTCATTTGTCAATAAACAATCTGAATATTTCATGCTCTTCTCTGTTAACTACGTGTTCTCAAAATTTTAATGTATTTTTGAGTTTTTATCAGTTCCTGACCGTTTCCCCCCAAAAAAAACTATTGGAAGTTTAGAAGTGTGAAGTATCCAATAAGCCACAACGTAGGACTAGGCACATATATCCATTGATCTAAGTCGCCATACCTCATCGGCAAAACAAGATGAACACCAAATTCCTAGAAGTAGTTACTTAAATGGTAGTAATGTATAAAAGAAAGATTGCATATCAAGATATAGTACAGGAAGAAAGAATTAGAAAGAAAGGTATAAAGTAATTATAATCTCATGGTTTACGGGGAAGACAAAGAGTGTATACACCGACGCCATTGTGATTGATTCTGAACCATGTCACCCAGAGTCTCCAACCATTAGTTACAATAGTCACGGGGGTTCCAACCAAGTAGTCCGCATCTAAGACCAGAAGTAAGTGACTTCAATGACTGATGCCACGTTTTGGTTTGGCCTTCCGTAACTTTCTTCCAACCATCCCCAATACTAGTCAGCATTGGTAATCGGAGTTCAGGCGTACGTAACACATGGTTCAACCATTTCGGTCGATAAAGATTCACAACCTCATCGATTGATTTACCATCATTCTTTACACCCTGCGTCTAACTTCATTTGTGAAGTATCCACTGTATGTAATCATTTTATTTTCAACTAGTGAGCATGGATATCGATTCAGATCAGGTTTCTGAAGTAGAATTTCATTTTTAGGCTATAAAGGACTTTACTCGCTAGGTTTAGACTTTCTCAGCATTGAAAATAACCTCTGCTTGTTGTCATATTTACCTAGTAAGACTGTATTTCAAGATGATAACCAAGTAGATTGACCTAGAAAATCTTTAAGAATGTATACTCAACACAAGAGAATGGTAGTTTTTCATTTAATAACTATAACTGTTCAAGCACATAATCATCATTAGTTTAATTATACTTGCCGAATACTACAGTGTAAGACGTGCAGATTGTTGATTTTTATAGTTTTATATCACAAATAGATTTCATTTAAACAGTCACTAAGATCCAGAAAGCTATGGATAGCTGTTTCATCCCATTATGGAACTCTTTATCAGTTCTCAATCAAAATTCCATCAAGAATTGAACCTAAATGCTTCAGACCTTGCATCGAGAAGTTGACGTTGTGTTGCCATCATTTATTGACACTGATTAATGATATTTGTTTCATATCCTACTCAGTTTAATGTTAATGATCATGGATTGTCACTAGAAGTCGGTAGACTTAAGTGAAATAATAAGGAACTATTTTTTGAATTGAAGATAAGATTAATTGATTTTTAATCAGGTTTAGCGTTTTGGTTTATTACAGGACTAAGAATCCTGGTAAGAAAAGTGTTTAGAGAGTTTATTCCGTAATGGCTATGTTAGGAATGGTGGATTTTTTTTCTTATAAACGAATATGATAATTGATATCTATTTACCTCCTTTGTAGAACTTTTGAGGTGCTAGATAATAAGGATAGTTCTACTTTATCTTTTTTGAAAGGTGGTTGCCATTTCTTCAACTTTGATGGTAGCTTGGTGTTAACTCTTTCTACACTACGCTATTTTGTACTTCTCAGGATTTGTATTTAAATGATTTGATTTGTTTGCTCTGGTTAACGCTTTTTTTTAGCAAGGTTGTTTCCTACGGGATAGGGTTGCTGACCCCATGCCCAACTTCCTCGTTTACTCCGGCTTTGGACCGACAGTAACCGTAAAAGAGCTACGTGTGGAGTTGGAGAAGCTCTGGAATATGCGGAAACTTTCACATATCTAGATAGCATCATCAATGAACAAAGAAGATAAGATGCAGACGTAAAGGTGAGGATTGGCAAAACAAGGTAAACATTCCTACAGTTGAAGAACATGTGGGACTCAAAACAACTGTCAACAAATATCAAAGCCAGAATCTTCAATGTGAACGTCAAGACAGTTCTACTATATGGAGCTGAAACGTAGAGAACTACTACAACAATCATTAAGAAGGTAAAAGTATTTATAAATAGTTGTCTGCATAAGATACTCAACATTCATTGGTTGGATACCATCAGCAACATCCTACTATGAGAAAGAACAAATCAGCTTCTAGGTGAAGAGGAAATTAGGAAAACACACTGGAAATGGATAAGACATACATTACGGAAACCATCAAACTGCATCACGAGGCAAGCACCAACTTGGAATCCTGAAGGGAAGCAGAAAAGGAGAAGACCAAATAACATATTACGTCGGGATGAATAACAACTGGAAATGATTGTTCAGGGCAGGGTTAGATGGAGAATGCTGGTGGGTGGCCTATGCTCCTTCACGAGGGGTAATGGGCTTAAGTAAAAGTTTGTACGGTTCACTTTTGCTCTCTGTTTGACAGTCTCAAGTATTGCCCCACATGTTTACTTCGTCTCTTTTCAGTAAGGGTGGATTGTTGGGAAACCTATGACTTAATCTCTATAATTTCTGGGCGCTTTTAGTGAATCGTTTTGTTTTTAAGTTATCTTGATTAGGCTAAGGTATAACTGACATTATATATGCAAACAGTGACAGTTTCATAATGATAATTCCTCTCATTAGTATTTAAAATTACTTTTCAAAGCATGGTGTGTTCATCGTCAATTTCTAACCGTTATCCTTTTTTAGATCTTCCTGTACAGAATCGTTATGTCGTTGTAATCGATCCGCCAAGTTATGGTTTTACTAAATTTGTTGCCTGCCCTGCACATTTTGGTCTATTCCCTGGAGAAGAATTAATACAAGGAAAAGGAGAACAACAACAGAAGGAAGCAGGGACCAAGGATTCGAACACTTTTGAAAGTCAAGCAAAACAACAACAACAATCGACATTTTCATCATCGTCTTCTGCGAATCCAAGTGAGCGTCGTTGGAAACCTTTAGTGGGTCCTGTACGTGTTGTTTATCCAATGGATGCATGTCAACCTATTATGGAAGAAGCATATGCTTATCCATCTGTTGATCTTCAATGGAATCAGAATTCTACGGAATCATTAAATCCTTCACTCTTTAATAGCTCAGAAATTATGCGGCAAAGTAAAGGATCTATTTCAGGTGCTATCGGTATTGTACGTCGAGGTGGTTGTGTTTTTGTTGAGAAAGCATATCATTTAGCTCAAGTGAGTTACAAATGCATATTCGAGTATGTAATGCTTTTGAAAGCTAACTGCAACAATGCCTTCCTATCTCAGTATTTTAGAAACTCTAAATTCAAACCATATTCATCCGATTCAAATCTCCACTCCATCGGTTTCGATTCAAGTCAATGGCTAGTACATTTTTCTATCAATACTTGATAATTGATCATCCAGAGATGCAAGGAAAAACAAAAGTCGTATGATAACCACAATCGGATCAATCCAACATATTGTTTAAGATATCGACTCGAAAACAGTGAACTTAAGAAAGCCAGACAAGGTTTAGAACTATACGCGTATGTATCATACCAAAAACTTACTCGCATGTAGTGAGTTATGTTGAGGCTAAACAAATGGTTCGAGGTAGGAGGGATAAATCATTTGATAAAGTAGGGGACATGAACTAACAATCATGGTTGAAACACGCTATAGCTTCCTCATCACCTCGTACTGTAGTGTAGAGTGCTAGGAGTATGAACCGTAGCGTTTACCAAATAAGAACTTGTCACCGATCCTCAAGTTTTTTACCAATGATCATTTGGTAATCGTACCGTTTACGCATAAGCCCCTAAGCACATGTATTCTTTCTTTATCTTACTCTAAATCTTGACCGTCATGTTATTCCATCGTTTACATGATTCAACTATGACTTAATTATCCCAGAGCATAATTAATAGTCAGATTAAAAATTTAGAATTAAATTCGTTGAGACTATAATTTATGGATGACCTTTCAGCGACTCTAATGTGGCCTAATAACTAGGACCAAATGAGGGTTATAAACCAGTCTGAGGAATTAGAATTATGATTTACAGTTGATGGTCAGTGGTTTTGATCACGAACTGACATCAGCTATAATGCCCAAACTCAAAATATCCAAATGGATGAATGAGTTTAGCGTCAAAATCTAAGACCTGTCATCTTATGCCTGATTGGTTCGTCCATATCTTATAGTCTCGCCTTAAATTCTAATGCATGGGAACATATTTACTCTTCATATAATAATCGGCTAGCATTCATGACCTACACAAAGTAGTCAATAACAATGCATACAAATCAATCAAGCTATTTCTCAGCCAATTTCACATGTTACACTTCATTCAACATTCCAGTTGGATAGTTTGAGTCATACTAATTATCAAACACAACATTTTACCTGGTTATAAATCTGCATTATTAGACAACAAACATCATTTCACTCGATTCAAACACTTATTACTCAGTTGACATGGTCGTAAAGATATTTTGTATGCATGCGGACACATTACTATTTACAAGGTTATTAATAGTCTAACAACAGTGCAGTAAAGTTTCAAGTTATCCTTCACTAGTTAAAACTGACATTTCACTATGTTTGACGGCCAGCAGCATTCATAAATGCTCAGGTGAACCTAATCGGATGCATTCCGTCTATCATCTCATCAAGAGAATCAATTGATCATGCTCTTACTGTCAGTATTCGTATTGATCATTGAAAGCAGATTATCTTCCTCGATTTTCTTAACCCCAGGGTCTTTTCTGACTGACTTTACTACAGGACACTCACTTTACCATTTAATGGACGTACCACCGCAGTCAAACCTGTCTCCTGATATGGTCTCAAAAAGAACCGTATATCATATTAAGACTTGAACACCGTAATTTGTGCCACAAATAATCTGACTAAATATGCTTTACATATTCTGAGACAGACCACAGACGGCATTTTAACTGGCTGCACATAGCAACATGTATTTCTCACTGAGTCCTCGTAGACAGAAAACTTTGCACAGCGATCAAAACGAAGAGATTTCACAAAAGGAATCACGGAAATGTTTAGGGGGAGCGTCTACGTGGCGATCTTCATTCAACGGGATACCTTTAACAAGTGTGATAGCATTACCACAGACTACTGAAGAATTTTCCTCATCGATGGAAATTTCTATAACTAGGTGTGATTTGTCAGCATTACTGCCTTCATTCATTGTGAAATCTAAAATGATCGAGAGAGAGGAAATAACATTCGAGTTAGATGGTGGATTTGTTGTTGTGACTGCATGACTCGTTATCCAGGCAGTCCGACTAAGTTCACCTGAGCATTTATAAATGCTGCTGACCGTCCAACATAGTGAAATGTCTTTTATAAAAATAGATCAACGGATTATATAATGAATGTTTAAGATTTGAATAACAAATTCAATTTTTATACTTACAGTCATATATATATATATAGCAAATATGTGATTTACTGGTCTATAAAAACTTCAGTTTTAACTAGTGAAGAATAACTTGAAACTTTACTGCACCGTTGCTTACTTACGCCTGTTACTCCTCGTGAAGGAGTATAGTCCGCTCACCAGCATTCTCCATCCAACCTTGTCCTGGGCAATCCTTTCCAGCTCTTTCCAGTTGTTATTCTTCCTTTTCATATCTGCTTCTATTTCCCGATGTAATGTGTTCTTTGGTCTTCCTCTTTTCTGCTTCCCTTCAGGATTCCAAGTTGGTGCTTGCCTCGTGATGCAGTTTGATGGTTTCCGTAATGTATGTCTTATCCATTTCCAGTGTGTTTTCCTAATTTCCTCTTCACCTAGAAGCTGATTTGTTCTTTCTCATAGTAGGATGTTGCTGATGGTATCCAACCAATGAATGTTAAGTATCTTATGCAGACAACTATTTATAAATACTTTTACCTTCTTAATGATTGTTGTAGTAGTTCTCTACGTTTCAGCTCCATATAGTAGAACTGTCTTGACGTTCACATTGAAGATTCTGGCTTTGATATTTGTTGACAGTTGTTTTGAGTCCCACATATTCTTCAACTGTAGGAATGTTTACCTTGCTTTGTCAATCCTCACCTTTACGTCTGCATCTTATCTTCTTTGTTCATTAATGATGCTTTCCAGGTATGTGAAGGATTCTACATCTTCTAGAGTTTCGCCATCAAGTGTGATTGGATTGCTGTTCTCCGTGTTGTTAGACTGTTAATAATCTGTTGCAGTTTTGCCACGCATTTAATTTAGTAACATTGAGACGGATTGTATAATTGATTATACTGCATATAAGTTTATGTTGTATTGTAGATTTCTTGGTAACGTGAATAATTTTTATTCCTCATCGACCTCTGTCTGATTACAAAATTAACAATATTTATTTTACGGATTGTAATTGTTTTGGAGTTTGGTGTGTTTACATATTCATATTCTTTTCAATCAATTTATCATCTGTGAATAGTATTGAACGTTTATTACATAAGCTGTTCTAACTTGATAACTGCGTATTAGATCGATGAACTGTTGAAAAACTGGATCATATTCTTCCAGTCTACACAAATGCATCTAACATGATGAGTACTTTTTAGTTTCCATATTTATACTTATTCGTAAGTGTTGGTTAACATGTAACCCTGTATGTAATTTTAGGTGTAATTGACACTCATTATTAGCAGAGTGTACCTGCCGTATTGAAGTAAACTGTATTACCTTGCTTGACGATCTGTTACTTCATCACTAACTTATTCGAGCAAACAATAACCGCATATGTTACTTTTCTGTTCTATTAGTCATTATATCCTTTTTATATGAGTGGGTTACTCACTCAGCCAGTCAGTTACAACGTAGGACCAGACACACACATATTCATCGGTCCAAGTTACCACACCTATTAGCACAGCAAGACAAACACCGGATCCATAGAAGCAGTTAAGTCAGTGATGTAATATATAAAAGAAAGGTTGTGTATATAGTACAGGAAGAAAGAATTAGAACAACACATATAAGCGAACAATTGTTTTCAATTAGATCGTCATCAGGCTTTACTCTAATATACAAGAATTAGATCACAGAAAGAAAGATATAAAGAAAATTTAGTCTCATGGTTTAAGGAAAGACTGTTATAACTTGTCAGTTGAATGCTACTTTTTATATCTGGTCGTCATGATTCTTGTATCGGAAACTTTTATCACTTATACTCGAAACGAGGGACCTCTGCAATCCCCACAGCCCCCAAATGCCCTGGTATGACCGAGAGTGGGGTGGGTCCTCCCTGCTTCTCGAAATGCTGTCACACGGCCACGCGTATACAGCCTCAGCCAGGGAAGTCCTACTCACTGCCTTCTCGTGGCGGGAGTGTTGTTTACGAAATTGAGAGGACGAAAAGCGAATGTCCGGCGCTATAACCGGATCCCAAACCAATGGTGCACATGGGCTCCAGTACCCTGCGGGAACAAATGGCGTATGGACCAATTGTTGGTCACCGGCTACCATGGGAATGCATCTCCTCACGATGCTCCACTACTTTGTGGATCAGACCTTTAGGTTTAAGGCTCGGGGTGTGGTCCCCTAAGAAAATCACCTGTTTCGGTCTGGGCACCCGAGGAGTATCACAGCCCACACACACAAATATGGTGTGGCGCATATATATTTGGTGCCTTCTTGTACCAATATTTATGTGTTGAAATAAAATAAATTCCCACGACACAAAAGTAAGGACACAAAGACTGGTATAAGTGAAGATTTATTATCTCCCAAAACTCGACGACGACGACGACCCTAGTCGAAAATACACTCATTTATGTATTGATTGTACACCCATTTTGATTAATAATTCATTTAATGCAACTGTCTTCATTATGATGCTTGATTCATTTTCTGTCTCCTCGTGGGCGGGTACTGCAATGATTTCATGAGCATTTAATAAGACATCGTCTTTCTGTGAGCTAGACAAGTCAGTGTTTGCACATGGTGTTTCGATGACAATGGGATTTGAATACACGACAGGGCATATCTCTAAAATGGACATTTCTGGACCATTACTGTTTATCAAGGATTCACGGAGGCTTTCATCGATGCGTTCATACATTCTGCAGTCATTTTCCAGCTCTGTATGTAAATTAGAAATTAATTTATCAACTGTCACATCTCCAAAACATGGATGATTTAGCAGCCGTGTGCGTAAATTGTCTAAAACATTTAACTGGCTCTTTTTGAAACGCTGCTGTTGTCGCTCAAATAGCAACTGTAATCGATCGGAAGAGATAGCCATTTTTTAAATCAGCACGGTAATGAAAAATACTATATGGCTAATTAACAATCAATGTCGCTCACGGACACCAGCGAGAATTCTGTATGCTGATTGTTCGAAATAATTACACTGAATTTTGTCCAATTACAGGCTGACCTTGATTCGTTAATTTTGAAGATTGAGGGTTCAGATTTTTTTCACCCCGTCGCCAATTATTGTAACTTGTCAATGGAATGCTGAATTGTCTTGTTGACTTTTTCCAAATTACCCGTCGCCACTGATATGTCTTGTCGTTTGAATGCTACTACATTGAATGGTCGACACATTGAATCAGAACGCAAGTAATGTTGAACAAAACTCATAATTAGTAAATCAATCAAATTTTGACTTTTCTTACCATCATAGCAAAGACAAAGAGTGTATACACCCACACCATTGTGATCGATTCTCAGCCATGTCACCTAGAGTCTCCAACCGTTAGTTACGATAGTCAAGCGGACCCCAACCAAGTAGTCTGGATCTACCAACATGGCTCAGACTACAAGTTAGTGACTTCAATGACTGATGCCACGTTTTGGTTTGGCCGCCCATAACTTTCTTCCAACCATCCCCAACACCGGTTAGCATTGCACGTCGTGGTAATCGGTGTTCAGGCATACGTAACACGTGGCCCAACCATCTCAGTGGATGAAGATTCACAACCACATCAACTGATTTACCATCATTTCCTAATACCCTGTGTCTAACCTCACTATTACTTACCAGATGATCCCAGCAGATGCGAGCAATATTTCTAAGGTATCTGTGATCAAATACTAATAGCTTACGAGTATCTTCTACTCTTAATAGAGACGTTTTGCAACCGAGTAGTAGAACAGAACGAACTCGTTCCTTAATTGATACAAGGATATCTCACCTTCACTATAGGTGATGTGAGTTGGCAAGAGTTCATCAGACACACAATCCATTTGAACTGATCATATTAGGTTACTGTGGTTAATATACTAAATCTACCTAAAACAATATAATTTACATTGAATTTTATTGTTATTCTAGGCTGGTGCTATTGGTGTAATTATAGTTGATAATAAACCAGATACATCAAGTGAAATTGGTCCATTATTTGCATTATCTGGTGATGATGATGAATTGAATAAAAAAATTCATATACCTATTGTTTTATTATTAAGTATAGAACGTGATAAATTATTAAATTTAATGCGAATTCATTGGAATCATACAAATCAACCAATTCATGTTATGTTAACTAAAGAATATGATGTTGCAGGTTAGTTAATCAATGTTTAATGAATGTTATCAGAATGGGTTTTGTGGAGAGTTTTAGAAATTTCACAAGTTGAAATCATGAGTCAGTTGAAGCTAGACCACCATTGAAAACCTGGAAGCACTGGACGGCCGTTTCGTCCTGGTATGGAGTCCCATTCTGATAATAATCAACTGTTCATTAGTGACTGACTTCAAGAAAAACTCCTGGAGTTCAACCGGTCTGTTGTGAGATAACAACTCACTGAAGACAATGGTGTACGGTGGCGCAACTTCGTGGATTGGTTGAAGTTAGACATTAACACCGTTGGATGCCGGCTCAGTGGTCTAGTGGTTAAGTGCTCGCGCGCGAAGCCAGTAGGTCCTGGGTTCCAGCCACGCGTGGTGCGGGATCGTGGATGCGCACTGCTGAGGAGTCCCATACCAGGACGAAACGGCCGTCCAGTGCTTCCAGGTTTTCAATGGTGGTCTAGTTTAATGAATGATTTGTATATGCATTTAGTTACTGCAACTGTATTTCTATGCTAATATGGTATGGTAAATCGAACTGATGTATGTACGTACGTACGAAGTTCTACGTTGTTACTGACTGACTGACCGCATTCAGCTACTGTTGTTTGTTTCAATTAATTCAGTGACAAGTTTTGTAATATTAAAAGCATTTTTATGGAATTTATTATTTACAGATAAAATAGCTGACAAATGATCAACTATGTTTGTGTATGATTTGATTAGTTTCATGTTATATTCATATTCAGCCATCATATGACCATGTGTATACAGCCACTATCAGGGAAGTCTTACTCACTGCCATCTCGCAGTGGGGGTATTGCTTACGAAATTTAGAGGATGAGAAGTGAATGTTCGACGTACTAACCGGGTTGGTGGACACGGAGGATCCATTTATGGGATGCAGGATCCTGGAAGAATAAATTACTTATGAACTTATTATTAGTCACCGGCTACCATGGGACTGCATCTCCTTACGATGCTCCACTGCCTTGTGGATCAGACCTACAGGTCGAAGGCTCCGGGTGTGGTGCCCTAAGAAAACCACCTGCTTCGGTTTGGGCACCCGGGCAGTATCACAACCCTCATACATACCAAATGAGATTTGTGTGGCGCATATGTATTTGGTGCCTCCTTGTACCAATATCTATATGTTAAAATATAGTAAAAAATGAGATCTACGTTGTACAAATCAGTCTACATTATCGGTACACAGTTCATAGAATCTTAGATAGAAATTAATGATTATGATGATCTAGAATTCAATGTTAGGTGTGCAATTTAGTATACCCATTCTTAAGGTATTCTTTACTCTGAAAAATTAGCTGTCAATTGTCTCCTCCCTTTTTTTAATGGTTGTCTAATACAAGTCAACACATGATGGAAAACTTCTCAAACGATATTTAGTTACTTTTTTTGTATTCTAATGGTTATTTTTTTGTTTTTGGGAGATATCTGTTTCCTTTTCTTCTTCCTTTTTCTTCTCTCTCTTTCACAGAATCCTTCAACTCAGCATTATCAATGAATAGAGTGAATAGTGTAAGTTCTTATCTTTTTTTGTTGTTGAAAATTTCTCTTTCTGTGAATGTCTACTTCTATACAGTTTTGTTCTATAATGAAGGATCCATCTATATGGCATTATTATTATTATTACTAGTAGTATAGTTGTTAATTCAATTGCACATTATTGTTATTATCTATTTGTATGTCATCCAAAAATGACTTATTGAAATTCGTTTACGTATTTGTTATTCTGTTTACGTAAACAATTTATGTTTTGTATCAGAAGGGATTTTGTGGATATGAATCAACATATAGTCACTAATGACTGACTTCATGAGGTATTTCCTGAAGTTTTAGTGAGAAGCAATGACCGGTGGAATTCAACCGGGTTTGTTGTAAAATTGTAATTCACTGAACACAATGGTGGATGTGTCGCTCAATTTCATGGATTATTTGAAGTTATACATTAACACCATTGAATGTCGGCTCAGTGATCTAGAAGTTAAGCGTTCGTGCATGAGATTGCTATGTGCTGGGTTCGAATTTTGCATGCAGGATCATGGATGTGCACTGCTGAGGAATACTATAATAGGACAAAACAGTCGTCCAATGCTTCCAGTTTTTCCATGGTGATCTAGCTTCAATGGACTCATGATCTCAACTATTAAAAATCTATGTTTTCTTAATAATAACTTTGCTGTTATATGTATTATCAATTTCATAAGTAAATAAAGCGTTTGTGTTGAGATTTAGATGGTGGTTGGAGGTAGTCAACAGGAAACCCTGGACCCGGGTTTCGTGCTACTTGGCACTTGTCAGCAAGGTATACCTGTAATTTTGAGGGAACTGGTGCTCCCTGGCGGATTCGACCTCGTGTCACCCAGCTTTACAGTCAGAGACGTTACCACTGAGCTATTCGAGCCGTGACTAACCTCCTGTAGGACTGAGATGTAATCACAGCCAACCACCATCTAAATCTCAATACATAGTGCCCGCAGTGTCGAGTCACCTAGACTGGTGGCCGCATCGCAACATGATCGATAGCATTCGATCTGCACTAATAAGGACTAGACAAGCATGACATTGATCACCACCCAGTGATCAATCAATTGTGAAAACGTTTGTGTGTTTATCCACTCATGTATCTATCATCAGTAAATTCATAATCTCGGTGAGACTATAATTCATGGACAAGCCAATCAGAAACATCTAAGGGATTTCAAAGTCAGTACTGGATGTTCATGTACGATTGGTTCACAGCATATTTTAGAGAAAATGTGATTATTGAGCGGCTACAACAAGTGGGATTACTGAGAAGTTTCTTTATTTGTGTTTGTGAACCTTGTGCAGACTACCATGGTGATGTTGTCTTTCGATGTAATATGTGTTGAAGGAAAAAGTCTGCTAGAATAGGTTTTTTTTCGCTCGATCCAGATTGAGACTGAGGCAAATTATGACAATTGTTGGGAACTGGATAATAAAAGCATCAATGACACTAGCTACAGCCGGGTACTACAATATATACAGATGATTGAAGACCGTACAGATGCCAAAATAGACTTGATTATGTCGTTGTCCACAAGCGGCATTTTATGGACCCAACAACCGGAGCGCACACAAATAATATTGAAGCTACGTGGCTGAGGTTCAAACAGTTCTTGTGACCTTATCATGTCTCCAGAGGCCGACTATTATGAAACCATATAGATGATTTCCCCTACCGTATATATTACGATTTTAGAACCTCTGAAACTTTTTAACCTTAAAAAGGTTTAGAACTATGTAAAAGTAGTGTATTCACATTAATTGTTTGATTTCGTATAATATATTTTTACTCTATACTAACTGTCTTCCGATTGGCTGAACTTTCTCAAGGTCACTTGGGATTCTTCTAAAGGTTGTCCATAAATCATACTCTCGCCGACCATATAATGGTGAACGGCTGTTTCATTCGTATTTATAACTCCTTAACAAGAAATGTAACTGATGATCCTTATATTTTTTTGACAAATAGTTAAGTTTCACTGATTAAAATCATGAGTCAATTGAAGCTAGAACACCATGAAAAACCTGGAAGCAATTGACGGCCATTTCGTCCTAGTATGGGACTCCTAAGCAGTGCGCATCCACGACACCCCCCCCACGAGACTCGAACCCAGGACCTATCGGTCTCGCTCCAGGTGCTTAACCAACTAAACCACTAAGCCGGCATCCAACGGTGTTAATGTCTAATTTCAACCAATTTACGAATAATTAAGTTTCTTATTTTAAATTATATGGATACAGGACAACGACAATACATTATTATTAAGGAGTAATTGATTCATTCTTCAATTTGCTGATTTCATAATTCATAGCTTCTTTTTTTGAATACCACAAAATTTATCTGAAGTCTATTTCACAAGTTAGTGTACTTGTTCAGACGTTTTAAAGTGATGAATGAGAACACAGGGGAGGACAATCAAAGGTATTTGAGAACAAACTTACAGAACATCTCACTAAAATTTGAGAACCATACAGTAAATACTTCATTTACAAAATGTCAATCAATCGTCTCAAAAAACTGAATTGTCTTTTCGTTTCCACACCAATCATTCTTTGTTCTCATTGTCTTTTTCTACCGCCAGACATTTCACTTTCGATTGATGATACATACTACTTATATCTGTTGACATCAGTAGCATACATCACATTATAAAAAGCTTGTGACTTAAGACTATATCGAGGCAATCCGCACAGGATTCACATATGCTTACATGAGACTGAATTATTTCAGTCCTAAATAACAATGATCAGTCAGTCAGTAACAACGTAGAACTTCGTACGTACATACATCAGCTCAAGTTGCCACAACACATTAGCACAGAGATGCAGTTGTCGATTCAAATCTCGTAGTGGTAGAGGTAATAAAACTATAAGCAGTAATCGGAAAGATTAGGGTTTGAAGATGTTATTTAAAGAGTATAATCCAGTGAAATAAATTTGGAAAAAGAAAAAAGAGACAAGGACGAATCAGGAGATTAGAATTTGGGAGAACACAAATAGTGTTCGCACCTGCGCCATTTCAAGCGATTTTGAGCCATAACATTCAGGGTCTCCAACCACCGGTTGCTATCATTTCTCGGTCCCCAACCAGCTAGTCTACACCTACCAACATGATTCATTCCACTTGTCAGTGACTTCATGGACTTGTGCCATGTTTAGGTCTGGCCGCCCCTAGCTTTCTTCCAACCTACTCCTACAACATAAAACATAGCACGTCGAGGAAGTCGGTCGTTTGGCATACGTAACACATGTCCCAGCCATCTCAACTGATGAAGTTTCACCACTTCATCAATCGATTTGCCATCCTTACCTAGTACCCGTGTCCTAACAACTGCGTTACTTACTCGATGGTCCCAGGATATACAAGCAATATTTCGAAGACACCTATGATCAAATACTAGTAACCTACAAGTATCCTCTACTCTTAGCGGCCACGTTTCACTACCATAAAGTAGGACGGAATAAACTGCTGCGCAGTGAACACGTCCTTTGGTTGATAGACGGATATCTCGCCTACGCCATAAATGACGCAAGTTGGCAAAAGCTAGTCGAGCCTTCTGTATTCGTGCTGAGATTTCGTCACACACCAGACCACAAGGGTTGATGATACTTCCAAGATAAGTGAAGCGGTCGACACATTCAACTACTTCACTCCCTATCATTAGTTCGGGAAGATACAAGTAAAATAACACCAAATGAATTTATATGTTCTCAGTTTTTTTTTACTTAGTACTGTTCATCAATATTCACTTAGAAACTAAATCATAATTTTTCCATAAGTGCTAATCTACTAGTACTATGTTGTTATTGCTCAAATCCCTACTATTCAGAATCATATTTTAGAATTATAACTAGTCAACTTTATGTTTGTATAGATGATAAGATTTTGTTAATATGATATCATACATTAGCCTTAATTTGATAACTACTGTAAATTAGTGAGCATTAAGCAACCATTTTGTGTCTTAGTATTATAGGACTCTTTGGTGAGATGCACCCATAACTTCACTCATTTAGAACTGAATTCAGAACTTTTAGATCTCTCGGTGAACAATTAACATTCAGTATCTAATGGGTTTTTTTAATTGTCTACTGAAATTATTGATTATTACCTATCTCTCACTCTTAACATAATTAACCTGAACTAATCACTGGCAATTCGAACTGATATACGTAGGTACGTACAAAACTACATTGTTGCTAAATAACTCAATTGATCATAAGTTTTCATTAGAATTCTATGTATCACTTTTTGAAATTAATTGATAATCAACACATGATATCAGAATGGGTTATTTGTGGAGAGTTTTAGAAATTTCACAGGTTGAAATCATGAATCAATTGAAACTAGACCACCATGGAAAACCTGGAAGCACTAGACGGCCGTTTCGTCCTAGTATGGGACTCCTCAGCAGTACACATCCACGATCCCGCACCCCGCGGGATTCGAACTCAGGACCTACTGGCTTCGCGCGCGAGCACTTAATCACTAGACCACTGATCCGGCATCCAATAATAGTTTATGGATGGATGAATAGATGCGCACTGCTGAGATGTTTTTAATCCAAACTAGGACTATTGATTGTCTCACTGAAATCAAGGAAGTTATTTGATTTCTTTTCTTTTTTTGTTTACTTCTACAGGAGAAAAACCAATCTGATACCATTGAATTAATCACTGATTTATATCAACAATCAATATTTCCCATAATCAATATATTATGTTCTAATAAAATTACCGAATCAATTAGTGTTTCTATGTTGCAAAATTCTACAATGAATCTCCATAATGTTTCTATGACTAAAATCAATGAAGAGAATACAATTAAGAATTTATGGTTATTTACATTTATAATGAATCAGAATGAATCATCGAGTTATTTTATACCTACTACTACTACTACTAATACTACTGATAATAATACTAATCAAATTCTTAAAGGATCACTAAAAGAACTTTCTATATGGCGAGATTTATTTGTTATTACATTAAAACAAATTGGAATTAAGTAAGTGAGATTAATTTCTTTCTTTATTTGTTTATTCTTTTTTTTGTATTGAATTGCCCCTAAATGTTCTGTTACGGCTTCTGAGGATGAAGAGAGTCAAATCTCAATCTTCAAATGCTCTCACACATGGTCACGTGTATACAGTCACTGTCAAGGAAGTTCTACTCACTGACTTCTCGTGGCGGTGGTGTTGTTTACGAAACTGAGAGAACGATAATCGAAGGTCCAACGCTTTAACCAGATTGGTGGATATGGAGGATCTAGCTGGGGGAGTTGGAAAACCCAGATTCTAAATCAGTGGTGCACATGGAATCCAGGATCCTGATGGAATAAATGGTTTGTGAACCAATTATTCGTCACCGGCTACCATGAGACTGCATTTCCTAACGCTGCTCCACTGCCTTGTGGATTAGACCTTTAGGTTGAATGGCTCCGGTTGTAGCTCATTGTTAAGGTAGTTCTACTCACTGCCTTCCTTCTCGTAGCATCACTGTTGTTTACAAAATTGAGAAGACGAAAAACGAATGTCTGAACCTTTAACAGGGTTGATAGATATGGAGGATCCAGCGAGGAGAGTTGGAAAACCCAGATTCTGAACCGATTGTGCACATGTGATCCAGAATCCTGAGGGAACAAATGGTGTATGAACTAATTATTCGTCACCGGCTAGCATGGGACTGCATTTCCTAACGTTGCTCTACTGCCTTGTGGATTAGACTTTTAGTTCGAAGGCTCGTGGAATGGTCCCCTAAGAAAACCACCTGTTCCAGTCTGGGCACCCGAGTAGTATCACAGTCCACACAAAAATCGAATGATTTATGTGGTGCATATCTATTTGGTGCCTTCTTGTACCTATGTTTATGTGTTTCAATACAACATAAGATAATAAATACCAGAATTCTCGCTACAACCAATTACCACTAAACAGATGTGTTTTCTTAAACTCTAATAATTCCGAAATTGATGTATATCACCAATGTGCAAAAGGTCTTAATAACATGATAGTGTAGTAGCCAGTTATCAATAATTGGTCTGTACTCCATTTGTTCCCTCAGGATCCTGAATTCCATGTGCATTATTGGTTTATAATGAGGGTTTTCTAACTCCCCTAAGTGGATCCTTCATATCCACTCTACTGTTAAAACGTCGGACATTCTCTTTTCGTCCTCTCAATTCGTAAAAAACGTTCACAGCGAGAAGGTAGTAAATAGGACTTGTGGCAGTAGCCTCAGCAGCAGTAGGTCTCAACATACACAAAAAGTAAGATTCTCCGATACAACGCAGCATGCAACAACCGAATCACACTTGGCGGAGAAGATTTGGAAGATGTAAAAACCTCAACATATCTGGGCAGCATCATTGATGAACACGGTGAATCTAATGCAGATGTGAAGGCGCGAACCGGAAATCAACAGCAGCATATTTACAACTTAGAAACATCTGGGACTCAAAACAACTGTCAACCAACACCAAGGTCAGAATTTTCAGTACAACTGTCAAGACAGTTCTACTGTATGGGGCGGAAACTTGGAGAACTACGAAAGCCATCATCCAAAAAATACAAGTGTTTATTAACATTTGTCTACACAAAATACTTCAGATCCGCTGGCCAGACACTATCGGAAACAACCTACTATGAGAGAGAACAAACCAGATTCCAGTGGAGGAAGAAATGAGGAAGAAGAACTGCAAGTGAATAGAACACACATTGAGGAAAGCATCCAACCGCATCACAAGGCAAGTCCTCACATGGGTCCGCAAAGCGAAAGGAGAAGAGGAAGATCAAAGAACACATTACGACGAGAAATGGATACAGATATGAGAAAAATGAAGCAAAATTAGACAGAACTGGAAAGGAATGCCGAGGACAGAGTGGGTTTGAGAATGCTGGTCGGCGGTCTATACTCCATTGGGATTAACAGGCTTAAGTAAGTAATTAAGGACTTGTGTGGCAGTGGTTGTATACACGTGTTCATGTGTGAGCATTTGGCGAAGGATAGTTGACTCTCCTCACTCTCGACTGTACCGGATGATGTCCTATTGATAATGTATAACAAAAAGCTTTCAAATCGAATGAATAATCACTTTCTTTCTATATTTTCTTCTTCTTCTTTTCCATTTTGTTTAGTCATGATTGTTATCATTTAATTTTGGCATTTATTCAAATTGCTTTACATAAATTATCTTCAATTGATTCATTGAATTATACTAATAAAACAATCAATATATCAATTGAATATTATCAATTAATTAATGATTGTTTAATAGAAACTATTCATTTGTGTAATAAAACAACAACAACACAAGAACAATCTTATCATAATCCTATGGATAATAACTATACATCTAAAACTGTGATCATTTTACAATTGGGCTTTCAATTCACACCACCACCATCATCATCACCACCACCACCACCACACCCAACAACAACAACATCAACACATCATCACTTATCTTCGATTATTTCACCTACCCCAATTAATCCTACTCATTCTTATATATCTGTTCTTAATAAGACTGACAGTTCACTATACGGTGATAATAATAATAATGATGATGATGAATTGTAAGATAGTATTATTTCACTCTTTCTTTTCTGTTTTTCTCTTTTGTTTACATACATCTATCTCATTGTCTTGTTTTTTTAAAAAAAAATAAATTTCTATCCTCTCTCTCTCTCTTTATTTGTTTTGTTTTGATTTTTGTAAAGCAAATTTGATTGTTACTACCACCACCCCTACCACCATTACTACTACCACTACTATTATTATTATTATTATTATTATTACTACTAGTAGTAGTATTACTGCTGATAGATGAAATGTTTTTGTTGTTATGTAAGAAGATGAAAAACTTCTTGTGTATTTGATTGTGTTCAACGTGCTTCTTATTTATTGTTGTTTGTATTTAACTTTCATTTTGTGAAAATGATTGTAATTTTTGTAATCAAGATTCTCTTCTTCTATTAAAATTTAATTCTTTTCGTGTTAATTGACAATCATAGTGATATAGGTGAAGGCAAGATAAGAAGTATAGTAATTTATTTACTTTATTTATTTATTTAAACACATCAATATTGATACAAAGGGGCACTGAATAGATATGCACCACACAATTCTTTTGATTTGTTTGTAGGCTGTGGTACTGCCCAGGTTCGCGGACCAAATCGAGTGATTTTCTTAGGAGGCCACACCCGAAGCCTTCTACCTAAAGGTCTGATCCACAAAGTAATGGAGCAACATCAGAAGATGCAGTCTCATGGTAGCCGGTGACAAGTAATTTGTTTATACACCATTCGTTCCACCAGGATCCTGGAGCCAATATGCACCATAGGCTTGTAGTCAGGATTTTTCAACTCTGGGTGGATCCTCCATATCGACTAGTCCGGTTAAAACACCGGACATTCGCTTTTCGTCCTCTCAATTTCCTAAACAACAGTAATGCCATGAGAAGGCAATGAGTAGGGCTTCCCTGTCAGTGGTTATATGCACTTGGTCACTTGAGGGCATTTGGAGAGGAAAAACTGACTCTTCTCACCGTCAGCCGTATCAAGGCATTTGGGAGCAGCATAGTAATAAAATAAATTATAGCTATTATTGATTATTATTAGTGTAGACAGTAATTCCCTACAGATGCAATTGTAGACTTCTCCCTTAATCTGTCGAGCACAGAGTCTTAGCTTAGCCAAAGTTAGAACAAGTAAACTATTTGGCTCAATAAACTTTATCTATTTTTCTAAAATGTTAATTAACACTGTTAACATACGGAATATACAATTATTAATAGTCTATTAAACAGGGAAAAAAGGAAGACAAATAACATAACGAATATTAACTAGAGAATAGGGAAAATAAATCGACGAAATGGTGATAAGAGCAAAGATTGATCATAAGGTGGTGGTTGTAAGTAGTCAACAGCAAGCCCTGGACTTAGCTTTCGTGACACTCGTCAGCAATATTTACCTGTAATCTTGAGGGAACTGGTGCCCCCTGACGGATTCGATCCCGTGTCATTCAGCTTCACAATCAAAGACACTACCACTAAGCTATCCGGGCCGCGACTAATATCCTGCAGGAATGAAATGTATTTACAATAGATTGGTCACTGGGTGGTGATCAGTGTCAGGTCCTCAGTGCAGATCGAATCTTGTCAAACTAGGTCAAAGAGAGTTATTGTAATGTTAAACATCTCGTGTTGTCAATGGTAGGTTCGTTTATCGATCACACCTTACAATTAGTAATAGTAATATTAGTGGTAATCACTTTATTATAACAGTAAACAATTCACTGCAGTGGCGATTCCCGTTTTCAAAGTCTTTTAATTTGTGAAATATATATATACATACTGTGAAACAGAACCGTCAAAACTGGGTTTAAAAAATTTAAAAAGGCTTTAAATGGAGTTGACTTTATTAGTTTCTAGAGAAAATTTCGATGCTCTCCTTAGAGATTTAATAGCTGATGTTCTACGTGTAGTGGGGGTATGAAAATTCATTCAGTAAAACTTCAAGTGTAGTGTGATTCAGCCTTTCTAAGATACAAATAATTACTTATGGTCTTCGAGAAGCAGTACATAAGACACTGAAGGATTCGGGTGCGAAACGTACAATTGAAACGATTCATTCATCAGCATATGGTGCTCCTATTGTGACGCCACTGACGTCGGACGGCAAAACCCTAGAATATGTGGTGACTATATATTAACACTGAAAGCCCGTTTGTTGAAGTACAAACGAATGAGAGTGATTTTTCAAAACGTCGCCAAATTCTGACTTCACAATTTAAGTATTAGGAAATGTTTATAGTCGGGAGGGGGTGACACATAATGGCTCTCATTTTGCGGCAGACATATTCATTACTATCTAGCTGAATTTCATAGAGTTCAAACATCTGTTAGCTACTCCCAGACACACCTGTTCTAGTATTCACGCAGAAAATTTCGTCAAGACATTCAAAAATGCTAATATTTCCGCTGCTGCCTTAACATTTTGTGAACTGGGGAGGAGATTAGACAGATTTCTACTACAATATGGAAATGCTAAACATTCTGGAGCGAAAGGGACTCCATCAAAGTTATTAGGAGAAATGATTCTTCATCCAAATATGAGTTACTTTGAGTCTGCAGAAGTTAAATATTATCATGGAAATGATATTCAGCCAACCACGAGGATAGTTGCAGTGAACTTCGGAAAATCTATGATTCGAATCATAGATTTCACTGATTTAAGTACATATAACCGACATGTTGATAAATTGCAATTCCAGGAACCATATGAGTGTGCTCTAATTTCGGCACTCGATCCTTATATTAATGAGAATATTCTAGGTTACGTATAATCCGTATCCAATGCGCAACCGGGCAGATACGTGGTGAAACTAAGGAAAAGACATACAATCCACCACAGAAATCCGGATTGCTATTTAAGCTGTGACGGTCGTGGTATTTTCACTTAATGGTGGTTCGTTTGTGCTTGATTGCTCACTGATTACGAATACCAAATGTGATACGTTCATTTGTGTTAATGTAATATTACCTACCTAAAACTTCACTATTTATGGAATCATTAGTTATTACATTAATTCGAATACCTATAATTATCACAACCTGTTCAGATTTGTAAGTGATCTGTAGCGGTATTAGTACCTTAACATACGATCTTTGAAACCAAGCGGATGATGACTGTGAAGATTTACATCTAAAATTTAACACTTAGAGAAAGTGAGATGGTGAATGTTGGAAAACTCAACCGGTATGACATGGCTCGACCATGCAAGTGTGAATACTCAATGCAACCTCTTGCTTGTCATATTATGTCATTCTTTTTCCTACTCATATATATTCTTCGAGAACACTTAGCGCAAACTAATGACTGTCAAGATTGTACGAATCATCAGATATAGGGGTGTGATTTTCACATAAGTCTGATAGACCAAATATTCATATCATGAGAAATTCACAACTGTGGGATAGGTCTATTCCATTCTGGTAGCATAGACAAATGTACTAATATATATTCATATACCATAAATCTACAGATGTTTTCCAATCATTCTTTTGTAGTAATGGACCGAGTGCAAATGTATAATGAGCAAATTTGTCAAAGTCCCCGGAGGTAGGTAGAACAAACATTCAAGAAATCACCAAACTGCATCATGAGGCATGCACCAACTTGAAATCCTGAAGAAAAACGAAAAAGTGAAAGATTAAAGAACACACCAAGTCGAGAATTAGAAGCAGATATGAAAAAAACGAATAATAGATAAAACACAACTGGAAAGGATTGCCCTGGATTTAGTTCTATAGAGTGCTGACGAGTGGCCTATGCACCTTGACGAGGAGTAACAGATTTAAAGAAGAAGAAAGATAATATCAGTGACATCTAAACACCCCATGAGCATATATTCGACCCCTTGTATGGCTACAAGGTAAATAAAGTCCTTATGACACTATTTTAACGAGATCTGCTTAACAACACGCAACCCATTCTCTGTACACCAATACTTGACCAATTCAGAAATCAGGAGGCTCACAAAGGTGTGAAAACAGGCCGTTTTCCCTCCATCTTTTTAGAGAGACAGTAAACCTCTAACTTTTAAAAGACTGGTAGTGATCTCACCTCACAAAGTTTTAGATGCTAGTGATTATTGTATTAGAGACATAACAGCGGTCGATTCGACCCTTCACTATGTTCACCCACTTTGTGATCATGTACAGTCTTTTTTAAAATCATGTACACATCCTAACGCAAGAAACCACAATATTGCTGAAACTTCTTTTGTAGAAGGGGTATAGTCGAAGTTACTGGATTCACGTTCAAGTTCAGGTGTAAAATACAGTTCTAATAATTCCCACCGATTGTCAAAATTTCAATGAATGGTGAACAAAATACAATGAGTGCTTTATTTCAACAATCCCCAAGTAAAAATCACTTATCGACAATAACAGTTATTCTGCAGCGATTCATTGAACCTTACTAAAATTCTTTCACCTCTTTTCTCCTTTTTTTACTCATGATCTGCCATGTTCCACAGAAAACACTTTTGTGAAATATGCGGATGATTTCAGTATATGTGTGTCTATCTCTCCCTCTTTACATCCCATAGAAATGAATGAATTTTTGTCTCGTATTAATTGTTGGTCTGTTGGTAATGGTCTCATACTTAATCCGTCTACATGTCAAGCTGTTAACATTAGCATGAGACATGAACGACATCTAAACACCATTTTGAGATCCCATAATGCTTGTGCCATTGGAGACTCTTTGATAAAAACAGTGTCGAAGATCAATTATCTTGGTGTCACCTTTTCCTCTGATCTCTCTTGGTCTTCTCACGTTTCATTGTTATCAAAGAAGGTTTTCTTTCTGACTTACTACATAAAGAGATTGCATGCTCTTGGGATTACTTATCATTTACTCTTACAATTTTCAATTCTCGCATATTACCTATTATTCTTTACTGTTCTTCATTACTCTTTCCCAGGCTTTTGAGAAAAGACTTTGCTATATTGCGGAGAGTGCTGAAGGCAGTTAGCAAGGTGTGTGGTGAATCTTTCGAGGTCATAACTAATAAAGTTGCGGATAGACATTTAAAGTCATGCAGACTACTGGCAGGTGTTATTTTATCAGATACTAACCATCCCCTTCATTCTTATCTTTCTCCTTGTACATCTTCTGGTAGAACGAAACGTAATCACAGACTTTTTTAAAACCTTTCTTCTTTTTTGTCTTTGTTTCTGTTTCTTTTG